TTAATTCCTTAGTACGATCTATTATATGGAGCCCTATTTATAATTGTCACGCCTCTAGGATTGAACGAGTTCAAAAGGTGTTTATTCGATTTGCCCTCGCTTCTCTTAACTTCTCAGATCCGATTCCCTCATATTACTCCCGGTGTAAACTAATAAATTTGCTATCATTGGAAAATAGAAGGCGTACCCAATTACTCTTATTCGTCTTCGATCTAATCTCTGGCTCCATTGACTGCCCATCTCTTCTTGAGCAGGTTACCTTTAATGTGCCTCTCTGAACACTTCCCAGCAAAAAATCGGTAATCGCTTTTAGTGGTAACGTGTTCTAGAAGGCATAGCGTTGTAATGCCTTGGAATTTTTTCGCTTCTTTTAGGCATTGTCGGTAATGCAAAGTAGAATATTTTATTTATTTCGATTCTTTGTTTCATTTTGGGGAATGCAAAGTAGAATGTCCTCTAATATTTCTTTCTTAATTCGCTTCTTTGCTTCATTTCAGGGAATGCAAAGTAGAATGTCCTACAATATTTTATTTTTTTCGCTTCTTTGCTTCATTTCAGGACATGCAAAGTAGAATGTCCTACAATATTTTTTTTATTTCGCTTCTTTGCTTCATTTCGGGGAATGCAAAGTAGAATGCTGCATCGTAGTCAGCTGAAAAATAGAATGAATATCCAAAAAATTTTTTTCTACCGTTAGTTTCTGTGGAAATTTGTCTCGCATAAAAATCATGTTTTGCTTTGTTCAATTTGCAGCGAAGTTGAAGTCAGTCAATGAAGTGAAGTACATGAGTGAGGAAGTACAATTTTAAGCTTAATTAAATATGCATGTACATACCGATTTTTAAGTAAAATCTAAATACCCAAATACATAAATATGTTTGTATAAAAACTGATTTATAAAAATTTTAATTAATTTTAATCTTTTAAGACATTTTCTGATTTAATATAAATAAGTGTGTACTCATCTGGGCATTCTACATTAGTTTCTCTGTAAGGCATTCTTTGTTCGCTTCTCTGGATTCTGTTTATCCATGCGTTCTCCCTTCGTTTGAAGGTAATGCTGCGGGTAAGGGATTACCGCCAATGACATGCCCATGTTAAAATAATGCCTTCCTGAAGCGAAAGGGTAAGCGATTCCCATCGCCTAGCTCGTTTCTTCTTTCGCTTCTGTGGTAATCGTGTTTTTTGCTGGGTTCGCTCTCACATCCCCTTTTACGTTCCTGCCGTTAAGACTAACTACTCATCTTTTGTGCCTATTTTTCGAGGCGTTGTGGAATTTAACAATACCTCAAAGAGCTTAGATATCGACTTTTCGTTTCCAAGAAGTCTTTTTAAATTATCTCTTGAAACCTTTTTTTCGTAATTGTACATATACTAGTCACCGTTAATACTTTTAAGCCTACTTCTAGTCTGTAAGATAGTAAATCATAGACTGAATAAAGATGAAATATGAAATATTAAATGTGCCAATAGTTGACCGGCGAAGGCTTCGCGGAATCGATAACCCTTTCGAGCTAACGCCAACGGAGTTCCGGAGGCTATATAGACTTAGTCCCGGCACGGCTGAAAATGTGGTATCGCAACTTGATAACCAGTTAAGAGGATCACGATAAACAGCGTTATCGACCGAAAAGCAGGTAAACCAATATAGCTTTAACTTTATTGAATATTTTAACTGCGTTCCACCGGTAGTACGAATTGCAGGGTTTACTGGAATATCTGTTTTTACCTTTAATAAACCTTATGGGACGTGGAACAGCTTTTCCTGTAAAACGTTTAATTCGTACTACCGCTAGAAAGCGTCTTATATAAGCATGCGTTTATGTACTCGTTAAAGGTTCTAGCGGCTCTTAAGGTTTTATGCCACTGGATGCTATCAACGCCCAGTTGGAGAACAGTGGGGCATTTCCATGAGCCAAACATCGATAAGCGTTGCATACACCGTGTGACTGACGCGATCAACAATTCAATGTTTAACCCTAAAGTGAAGTTCCCTATGACACAATTGGAGTGCCAAGCGGCAAAGGAAATTTTTGCGTCTGCACCTTCACCATTTGTAGCAGGAACTATCGGTGCAGTCGACTGCACTCATGTCTCTATTTTGGCTCCCAAAAATAACGAATCAAATTATGTCAATCACCATGTGCACCATTCGATCAACGTGCAAATGGTAAGAACATATCTGGTACATTTTTATTGTTATTTTATGGTTGTTAAAACTTTTAGATATGTGACCCAAATCTTAAAATTTTAAACGTAAATGCAAAATTTCCGGGAGCACGGCATGATTCATTTATTTGGAGCTTCTCTGCAGCGCGTCGGGTCATGCAGCGATCATTTTAAAATGGAAATCACAACACGTTTTTGATTGGTAAGGTATTTTAATTTCATATGAATTAGAATATTAAAAGAAAATTAAAGGCCATTCTGGTTATCTATTGGAGCCATGGCTGATGACACCTCTACCTAACGATCCAGAAGGAACGCCAAAGATTCGGTACAATGAGGCACTATGTAAAGCGCGTAACCCGATCGAGAGACTGTTTGGCGTCCTTAAGGGTACGTGGCGGTGCTTATCACAGCAAAGCAGCAAAGGGTTCTGTTGTATGACCCCGGTTTTGCTGGCCGAGTAGTCAACGCGTGCGCAACATTGCATAATCTTCGTTTGGACGATCAAACAAGCGATTTCGACGATAGGGTTGTTTATGATCCCGAAATACTAAGCACTGATAACAATTCCGAAGCATCTTCTTCAATAGGAAAACGTGTCCAACAACGAATTATAACAATTTTTTTTAAATATTCATTTTACTAAATTTATATGCCATCAAGGATCGTCTCGATGGTAGGCCAGCCATCAGCCGAGGCACGCAAGTAAGTGCTATTACAGCAAATTATATGAACTTCGTTTAAGTATAAAAATAAATGTTTTATTTTACTTTATTTTGCATTTATAATGAACGACTACAATAATTTTCTAGACTTGTTCAGTGTACGTCAACTAACTCCTTTATTTGTGAACGGGTTTCATCGGCATCTTCCTCTTCACAAGACAATGATGTTCATAAGCATGGGCAACAATTGATGCATAATACTTATATGTAATGCATTTTTAACAAATCAATATGTAGTACTTTCCACAATCAATTACAACGATAAAACTGCAGCTGTGGGGCAACCGCCGTTCTTTATGGTTGTTTTGGATAGTTTAACTGTGCACAGTAAAATGTCGCTAATCCACAGGTAATACAGAGCAAATTTTTTGGAACTAAGCAGCGAAATTTATTGTTTTGACTTTGATCCCTGGTGTCTCCGAATGAATTCACTTGACTATTTCTGTTTAGTCGCCGTAAAGCAAGGCCCGCAATTGTTCTGGTGGTTGATTTAACGGTGGTAATTTTATTGGTTCTTACAGCCTTAATCAAAAAGTTCCATACATGCGCCGGCTTTAGTAGAAAGCTCGTTCACACCAAAATCGAACCCGTGGGCATTTAAAGGATTCTCATCAATCATTATCTATCTAATCAAAATACTGATTACTGGAGTAATTGATTAACCGAACAACTGATTAACCAACTTGCTATAGTAATCGAATAATCGCACAGCCCTAAAACAACGCCATTTTTTATAATTGGTTTATTTTCATTAACTCTGTTAGGAATTGCTGTCCGCTGTTTTCAAGCCTCAATACTACCTATACATTGGCATATATGTACATATGTAAGTACGTACTCGTTTTTGGTATTCAATTAAAAAATTTAAACAAACATGTTTTATAGAATCTTGGAGGGCATTAGCGCACGCGCACTTTCAGCACCGCCTGTTTCTTCAATGAATTCCCCAATGCGCCAGCACATGCACTGTATGTTACATGCATTCAGCTACTCAGTTTGCCAATCGCGCCCTCAATCGTAGCAAGTAATGTGGTGGATGGTATTGTAAAGGGTTATTTACCAAAAGAGAAACACTACTACATCAATTCTGTTGGTATAATACTCGCTGGTCTGCCTGAGCCACATCGGAGTGTAAATGAACACCATGGGCAATACATTGATACACCAGTCGTGCAATACAAGCTTAACCGAGAGAGCACCTTTGAATTAAAATGCATGCACCTTCGCGTTGATGGGTGTCAGCTGGATTGACATATTTAAACATTACCTTAATCATGCATATTAAAGCGGAGTATTCAACACAGCCGTCGGCCGCTGTGGTGTAGTGGTAAGCAGTGCGCGCTTCCACTCCACAATGCCTGGGTTCAAACCCTGGTCAAAGCAACATCGCAAAAATATAGAAAAAAGGTTTTTTCTTAACAGCGGTCGTCCCTCGGCAGGCAATGGCAAACCTCCGAGTGTATTTCTGCCATGAAAAACAGCTTCTCATAAAATACAATCGCCGTTCGGAGTCGGCGTAAAACTGTAGGTCCCTCCGCTTTGTGTGACAACATCAAGGCGCACGCCACAAATCGGAGGAGAAGCTCGGCCAAACACTAACATATGTGTAAGCGCCAATCTATTATTATTATTATTATTCAACACAGCGCAAAGGCAACGCACGAAGACGCAGAGGCTGCCGCTGTTGGGCGTGTGTAGGGTAATTCATAGAAGAAATGTTGAAGATTTGGAATGTATATTTGTTAATGCTTGTTTTTTTTTAATAGGTATTCAATCCGACAATTTCTCAAACGTGAACCGGATAATATATTTAATTTGGGTAATTGAAAAACAATAGGGCTGTTCCGGATCTTGTGCATAGGCTCTTACATTTGTATATCCGTTGCATTTGTAAATTCGCAACAATAAAATGGACACGATTGCCATGGCAGCAAGCATAAAATTTGCAAATGCAATTCCAACTGCAAATCCAAGACCATTTCCACAATATCCTGAACAGCCGTAATATTTTTTCCAAAGGTATGGAAAATATATTCATTGGCGCGTATTCATAGTCCAGCAACTAAGTCGAAACTAACAAAGTTGCAACTTAAATTTAAGTACCAACTTAAAATTTACCTCTATTCATAGTCGCATTTCAGACTTCTACTAAGTAGTTTCGACTTAGTTTACGATATAGCAAAACGAGTGTGAAAATGTATCGATTTTTCTTTACGATATTTTGGCAAAATTACATTTTTATTAAATAATATCAAGTTTGGTCATCCGTTTATGTAATTTTTATTTTCATTGCATGATTATGCAAAAGAATAAGGTATCATTTTCTTGTTAATTGTGTGAAATAGCCAGAACAACCGCAGTGATGTGAAGTCGATGTTTATCGAAAGCACGCTGTGAAACATACAAATAGTAGATATCTAAATGTTATGCACAAATTTACTTTAAAAGAACTTGCGTGAAACTGACTTATTACTTGAAAATTTATCTAAATTATTCCAATTATAAAATTGTGATGTAGCTTTATTCGAATTGTAATACGCATTTAATTTCATCTTCCGATTAAAATAGATCGATCTTTGTAAATTTTAATTGGAGATTATTCAATATTATCAAAATCACCCTCTACCAACTTAATTACCAAGTTTATTTACAAGTAAAAAAGTGCCAATCTGACGCATCCAAATTATATTCAACTATAAGTGCATATTTAAGTTTCACTAGAAAATTTCAATAGCCTGTAAGAAAACTAATGAAATATAATCATACTATTTAGATTTAGAAATTAATTCTTTTTTGATATAATAAATAATATATGTAAATAAAGTACGCATTAAATGCCGTTGTCCAAATTAAAAATATAAAATTAACTTTTTATTAAATAAGTCAGGTACACACAAAATCTAACTTCATGTTTTCATTTCATTTCATTTATTCCGAAAACAATAATAACTCAGCACAGTAACATCAGAAAAATTAAATAAAGTAATAATAAAGCTAAGCTTTCAATAAATAAAAATTAAATAATTCATTTATTAAAATGGTGATTTTTTGTAAATATTCGCAATGTTTTTCATGCCATAAATGTTTTTTTTATTTGTTTTTAAAGCATGGCTTATATTTTAACAAACACCATACAAATCCAAGTTTTAAACTGAATACATAGTTAAGAAGTATTTTTCAAAGTTTAATGAAATTACAAACTTTTTAATAAGAATTTCTAAATTTAGATAAATTCTTATTTAAAAGTTTGCAATTTTAATGAAACTTTGCCAAATACTTCTAATCCACAGGTAATACAAATTAATAATAATAATAATAGTAATAATAATATTATTATTAATATTATTATTATTATTATTATTACAAATTAATATGTATAATTAGTCTACTCTGTAATATATCACACATACTCAAATGATTAAATGTTCTATTCTCATTTGTCTGTAAGAAAACATTTTTCTGTAGACCAAATAAATAATAAAATTTAATGGTTCTTTTACAGTTCTAAAGGTGTTTTAAGGCGCCGCAAATAGGGACGAATCGACGATATAGGATGACAAAAATGTTTACTGCATATGTATTTGACAGATTTCAATGAAATTTGGTATTTAGGGATTTTTATCATCACTGATTTCGAATATTAAAATAAATTTCCAAAATTCACAATGGCAGATCCAATCTGGCGGACGATTTCTTAAAAATGTCTGTATTGTTATGAAGCTTGGTGTCTAGAGAATTTCGTCGTCACTGATTTCGAAATTGATATTCAATTTTCAAAAATCAAAATGGCGATTTCTTCAAAAATATATAAATTTGTATGAAGCTTGGTATTTACTCCATATGTATTTGACAGATTGCAATGCAATTTAGTAATTAGGGATTTTCGTCGTCACTGAGTTCGAATATTAAATTACATTTCAAAATTTCAAAATGGCAGATACAATATGGCAGAAGATATCTTAAAAAATGTGTAGATAGTTATGAAGCTTGGTATCCAGAGAGAAATTTGGTATTTAGGGATTTTCATCATCACTGATTTCGAATAATAAAATAAATTTCCAAAATTCACAATGGCAGTCCAATATGGCGGACGATTTCTTAAAAAATTTCTATTTTGTTATGAAGCTTGGTGTCCAGAGAATTTCGTCGTCACTGGTTTCGAAATTGATATTAAATTTTAAAAAATCAAAATGGCGGATCCAATATGGCGGACAATTTCCTCAAAAATTTATAGATTGTTATGAAGCTTGGTATTCAGAGATTTTATATTTTCAAAAAAAAAATCAAAATGGCGGATCAAATATGGCGTCCCGAACAATAGGCGTTTTACTTTTAACGCAATGCATTACCTTTAGCACCATTTGAACCCATTTTGAATTTTGAAAATTTTATTTCAATTTCGCAATCAACGAAGATCTCTGAATACCAAGTTTCATAACAAAATACGAATTTAAAAAAAGTGGTCCGCCATATTGGATGCGCCATTTTGATTTTTGAAAATTGAATACCAATTTCATAACTATCTATACATTTTTTTGAGATATCTCCCGCCATATTGTATCCGCCATTATGAATTTTGAAAATTTGATATCAATTTCGAAATCATTGAGAACAAAAACCCCTGGATACCAAATTTCATTGAATTCTGTCAAATACATATGGAGCAAACATTTCTGTCCTCCTATAGAATTATCGGATTTTACTCAAATTCGAGATAAATATTGGTAACGGTAACGGCAATACTATTGCAAAAAAAATTCTATTTCGATTAATACCTAGAAAAGTTCCATTCCTAATGCAAATGGCGCGTAAGCAATAGGAAAATGGGCAAGTAAGTCGATTAGTTTCTACCACTTGCGCGGCAGCACAAAAACTATACTGGTCAGTAATTCGAGCTCCGATAAGCTGTATTCTGTCTCAGGCGGCCACGTTAGAAAAGGAAAGGAAAGCTTAGCTTTCCTTATTTCTTTTTTGTAAATCTTGAGTAGGTCTTTGTACTCCTTCCAACATTTTGCAGCTTCCGCTAGCTTCGCTAGCTTAAATGATTCCCTGATTTTCCTACTGAGGGCTCCCAACTTGGGGTTCCTCCAAAGAGGTCTGGTTTTACCCTTGGTGCTTCTCAGTGGGCACGAAGCTTTAAAAGCATTTATTAGGGTAATTGTTAGATGGTTGTCGGCCTTTTCTAGGTCATCTGAAATTCGCAGTCGCCTAAGCGCCCTAATTCCATCTTCAAAGGTTTCTTTGAATTTAGTCAAGTCAGTTCTTTTTGGATTTATGAACTGCTCTGCTTTTCGCACTGTTTTAGAAGAATGTCAAACCCTATATAAGAATGGTCAGGGAAGAAAGGCCTGCTGAGTACCTTCCAGTTTTCTATTGAAACTCCTCGCTCGGAAGACAGGCTTATATCTAATACGTTCTTTGACGTTGGTGCTATGCAAGTAGGTTCCTCACCATTTATGATCTTCAGATTAGTTAGAAGTAAGTGAGCAAATAGTGACTCACCCCGTTTGTTAATGTCGCCATAGCCCCATATAGTATGGTGGGCGTTTACGTCTGCGCATGTGACTATATGTAGTCATCTACGCCTACAGTATTCCATTAAGGTCCTCAACTCGTTCAGGTGGAGCTCCAGTATTGTGCGCCATGTACAGTGACGGGCAAAACTCTAACATGGTGTCACACTTTTTATTTCAGCCATCGGTATCTTTCCAAGTTCTAACGATCTTCACACTTCACAATCCAACAACAATAATAAAAATAGCAGGCAAAAGTGTAAATTAAAGCAAATGTTACAGTTTTGCGTCACTGTTGATATTTATAATTTCGAGAAAGTAGAGAACTTCGCTTACAACGCACAATCACTCTTGCCAAAAAATGCTACTTTAGACTGAGTAGGTAATTCAGGAGTAAAGTCCTCTCTCGACGTACGACAACCACACTCTGATAAGTCACTCATCATGCCCGTGCTGGTA